CCTGCTGAAAACAATCTGTTAGAACTGAGTTTTTCCACAGTAGAAAACTAGGGATGCACTGATACCACTTTTTTTCATATTGAGTACAAATATTTAACTAGAATAATTATACCATACAATTTTAATTACCATAAAAGGGCAGTAATTTTAGAGGCATTTTATTCTATGAGATCTTGTTTACTTTGATTGATTAAATACAATATACAATAAGAGGCAGGTGCTGAACCAAGGTAGTAATGGATTCAAATGGGTTTACGCAACGCATTGACCATGGGTAGAGTGAAGAAGAAGAGTTGAAGGCAAGTGCTTATTTTCTTGAGTTACTATTTATCTGAGGAGTGGACAGCACCTTGGTAGTAGTCCACAGGAGATCGTCCTTGGGTCATGCGGGCATCCATGAAAGGAGGCATCATCATCCAGCGGGGGTCAAATCCGAGAACATGTGGGGGATAGTAGCCCCGCTGGGAATGGCTTGAGCCAGATGGGGCAGGGTGACCCGACTGCTGCCAATGCTGCATCTTGTAAACTTGTTCCTATGAAATGTATACAACAAACACAGTTGTAACTTGTAAAAACAACATATGGGTATGTCAACCTATCCTTTAATACCACATTAATTCACATACATTGGACTAAAATGCCAGATTAATATCAAGAAAATAAACAAATTTGAACTTTTGTGTTTCACTCTTCATTCATCATTACCCTGCAACATTCATTATCACAGCAGCTGCTCTGTGAAGCAGAAGAAGAGGATCACTAGCCTACCAAGCAGGGTTGCAATGGTATGGGATTTTCACGGAATAACTGTCTCAGAAAATATCTGTTGAACTACTGTATTTTGCATCCAAGGGCAATGACTGATTATTTTCATTAGGGAACAATCTGCTTATTGACTGGTTTGTAGAACAATAGTGAGAAATGCCATCACAATGCTATAAATGATCATCAGAATAGTTGCTAATTTACTGTAGATGCATGACAATGCAGCCAGACTGACCATGTTTGTACCTTCACTCATACACACATGCCGTTTTCATTCCTTATGGGGGACTTTACGTTAACTTACATTCATTTCCTGTAGACTGATCCTAACCTTAACCATTTAACCTAACACCTAACCTCATACCATGTTGTCACCCTAAAATTCAGTAATTTGCTTGTGGGGACCACCCTCTGGTCCCTACAAGGAAGGCAGAGTCCCCACAGTGTAAGTGTGTTAACAGGTTTCGGTCCCCATAATGCAAGTAATGCAGGCACAGGCGTGCGCGCGCGCGCACACACACACACACACACGAGCCGGCAAAGATTGTGTTTGTTTCTGGGGTCCTATTGGGATCAGTCTGAGTCCTTTTGTAAGGCAGAAATTCACAAACGAACAGATAATGTCAAAAATGATCTCAACAGCACATTTTATGACCAGCGTTTATATGATCATACATTTTGTTTTGAATTAAAAGCTGGAGAAGTTACTATGTCTGCATTATGCCAGTTAAAATATGGGGTCTCTCAATTGCCTGCTTTGTTTAGTGTTACAAATCTCTTTTCATCTGTACATATACTGTTGTTTACCTATTTATCAAGGAGAAATTCAAATTAATGAATGCTGTTGCGGTTCATTGTGCTGTCGACTGTTGACAACACCGACATCAGGAGCTGTGCGCGTTCACAAACTATCCTCTCATTTTTAGGAAGAGGCCCTCTGGTTTTATTGTTCTGAAATATTTACAATTATGATGGGTGCAAAGCTAATCTAGAGGTACCCAAGATTAATATTAACATTAAAAGGCTGGAAATGAGCATGGCATGGGCTCTTTAATGTTACATCCCAGCATGCTATGGCAGTGTGACAATGAGTCAAAGCAGCTCAATAAATTTCAGCCATCATTAACTTTAAATTTACAATTGAGATTTTTTTTTTTTTTTTTACTGTGACATGTCAAAATGTCTTTTGGGTGACAGCTTTCACAAGGCTGACTGCCTTTCATGTCTGCATGGTGGTGAACCAACAAGCTACTTCTATTCACTCTTGAAAGCGCTCTTCTCACAATGCAGCAACTAGTAACACCTACACATTAGTCTGGGATTAAGACTTCACCAGTTACAATGGGCATCAGCTAACATTCACCTGTTGCTGTGGCTGCTTTTGAAAGCGCGGTGGGATGGGTTTGGGGGGATGACGTATAGTGTAGTCTCCTGAGGGGGAGGAAGGCTCTTGGCCATCATCTGCGCTGCCACGGTAGGCAGAGAAGCCATGTTCCCCACAGTAACTATGACCAGGGGAGCTGTCTGTGCGACACTCATCTGCAAATCATTTTGATCACAAAACATGATTAAAATTTGCTGTTTAAATCTACAGAACTTGTAGGACCAACTGTGCAGTTTTTTTTGTTTTTGTTTTTACCTTTTGTGCTATAATGCCAGCTGTCATGGTGGCCTTTACTTTGTTCCCTATTTGGGGAGAGAGGGGCTTCTTTACCCTCTCCCTCTTTCTGGCCCTCCGTCTGCCTTTCAGTCTTCCCAAGCTTCTCATCCAGCTTTTTGAGTTTTTCAGCACAGGCAGCCAGGCGTTCTTCACGGGCACGCCTCTCCTCCTCCTCCCGGCGTCTGCGGGCTCTCTCAACAGCCTCAGACAGCTCGGGTGACACATACTTTGCCCTAGCAGGAGCCTGAGTCTGAGACAGGCGCTGGTGATCTTCCTGGTCAGCCAATGGCTCACTCTGGTTTTTCTGTTGAGACCAGAGATGGAACAGAGGCAGTTTAAGAGGCAGGGCCACTCTTTTATATGCTGGGTTCCCTTCATGCAAACAGAGGACTAAACCCTCAAATAGGCAGGAATTTTTCATTTTGTTTTTGATTGTGTGTCTCTTTGTCTAAACCTTCTCCAGTATATATGAGAGTGATCAAAGAGCTTTGCAGTTTTTAAACAAAAAACTCCACATCCATTGCTTAAAAAAAAGAAGGAAAAACAACAATGACAGTTCTATTCATGTTTATGTTTTGTGGAAGTGTTCACAAGATGCTGAATTTCTCTAAATGATGGAAAAGGGGAGGAAGGATGGCAAGCAACAAAGATCCAAGGTCAGATTCATCCTCAGCAAATTACCACTACCACATATCACTAGACTTCAGAACACCCTAAATTACTTACTCTGCAAGCCCACCCACTCACAATGAGAACTTAATAACCTCAAAGATTCTGACAGAAATACAGATTGAAACACAGATAATCTGCATTTCCATTATGTGTCTCACATCATTTTCATTTGCCTTGCAGAGGTTTGGCAAGTGAAAAGTAGTCACACACATCACTATGGTTACTGCAAGGTCATCTCTCCCAATTCACAATGACAGTCTCACTCGGGGGCGTGTAAAAGCGTGCTGCTATTCATATGTTCAAGTACTGTTTTTTTTAATACTCCACAGCCACAGGATTTGAGAGGCTGATTTTTAACACTGAGTAACAGCCTAATCTTAGATAAGTAATCTCAAAAGAAGAAGATGAAAAGTGGAAAAACATGGTATAGTGTGTAGTTACCTGGGTTTCCACAGAGAGATATCTACCACTGCTCTTCCTGGGAGGCTCATGATGGTGATGTTGGTAAGAGTAACTCTCCTCAGGGCCCTCCTGGGGGTAAGATGTCTCACCTGAACTTGAGGACTGGCAGTCACGCTGGTTCTCTCTCTCCTTCTCCCATTCAGTCCTAAAAAGTAACAGATCAAAATTAAACTAAAAACCCTTTAAATATGACAAAACTGTGACAGTGACCGTTGTTCACTCTAAAAAGGGTGTTTAGAGCACTAATGAGGAAAAAGATTTCACCACATCTTGTTCTTATCATTTGATGAGTGTTCTTCTTCATCATCGCTGAACTTGAGCTTCTCACTATAATCAACTTCTTCATGGAGTCCTAGAAAAAAACAAAAGACCAACTGTCAGAAAAGTGGTGTAGTATAAGATAACAGGAGTAACCCATCTGTGTGCTAGCACTTGTTACTAACAAGATAAAAACATGAATGATCTCAGTCTGGTAGGTCTAGGAAAGACTGACCAGCCCATCCATCTTCACAGTCATTGTCAAGTTCATCCAGATCCTTCAGGTCCTCTGGATTAATGATGGCAGGGCGCAGTGGTCTGTCACCAGGCCTGCGAATAGGCTGAGAAGAGAGTCGTGGTGGAGCACGGACAAAGCGGTTCTCTCTTCTCACATCACCGCTGCAATTCCAGATAGTGCAAAGACAAATTAGCCATTGCCAGTTGCCATAAACCTCTTGGCCAATCTGGTTAATTTTTCGAACTGTTCTCACTTTATAAATGCACTTACTTGACAAGTTCAGGTTTGGCGTAGCTCTGTCGAAATGTTGGTTTGCTGTCAAATCGGGCTGGGGCTGCTACGGTGGTAGGAACGTGTTCTGTACCTGGGGTTTCACGTGTCTCTTTTGAGCACATCTGAAAACAGCAGGATGACACAATGTGTTCATAGTGGAAACACAATACGCCAACCAAAGGATATGAGCCGTTTCCAATTATATCCAAAAGTTGCCTGTGTCCAACAACACTGTCTTTGAAGCGTTTTTTTTTTGTACAAATAATGGCCGGAAAAGTCAAGAAAGTCATACAGCACTCACAAATGCGGGCAACATGTCATGGTAGACAGCAGTGGAAGTGTGGTAAAGCTGGTACTGCAGAGCAGTGGGGACAGCTGTTCTGCGGACAGGCTGAGCAGGTCGCAGGGATGGCTCCTTGGGGTCGAGGCCTGGTGACTGAGCTGTCACTGCATTGGATGAGGTTGTGCCAGTGGCAGAGGAGGGGTGAGATGAGGCTGGAAGGGTACCACTCTCACCAAGGGCAGTGGGCTTACCCTCAGGATCTGCAGGCAGGCCAGGGGTCAGGGACGAGGGTTGAAGGTTCCTGCCACCACCTTCCCTCCAGCTCGTCACATCTTAAAGTGAGGAGAGGGAGTTTTCCCAGAGAGCAATTGACAAATTCCACACGGACCAAATCAAACTGACAAAACTAAATTTAAACTGATACCACAGTGTTTATTTAACCTCACTACCATTATTTTTAATGACAGGAGTTAATTACATCGATAAGTCAAACAGGTCTCCCCTTACTTAAACAGCCAATTCAGAAAATCCAAAATTGTCTGTACAAAACCTCTATACGTAGTGCTAATTTCCCATCTGTCACTAGGAGCAATAGCTAAACTCAGGGGTTGTGGCTGCGAGTCAGTGTAAAATACATCAGCATGTTGATTTCCACTAGCTTGAAAAACACTTAAGTGCATTGTTGAAATTTATTTCTATTACCTAATCAGCAAGCCATTAATGTGTTTCAGCAATATCATTAGCTTCCAGACACCCATAAATCTCGCCACCAATCTAATATTTTGCTTTCGATCAGACAATAGCTTATCTAGGAGACTGCCAGGCAATTTTTGAGAGATGAGACTTACTCTGGGGGCGGAGGCTTGGTCCGGGCCCATACGACGGATCGAAGCCGCTTCTTTCCTTGCCAGCCCTGTCCTGTTCTCCAGCTGCCTTCAGAGTGGGAAATTCCTCGTGAGAGAAGGGCTGAAGTCGGTTTGAGGCCCTTGAACCTGTTGTCATTGAAAGAAGTGGCATATTGCAAGATGTTTATGCAAGTAGAAGACTGTTGCACTAACTGGTAAAGACATAAGCTTGTCATTTGATTTTAAACCAGTTCCACAATTTTAGATAAATGTGAGATGACTCACCATCTAGCTCTACTGCCTTTCCATTTAGCTGGGCCCATTGCTTTGGTCCACCTATGTTTGTGCTCTGTGGAAATGAAGAAAACCATGTTCATTATCTATGCAGTCCCAAGAAAAGGTAATGGCACTGTTTGTAAGAAAAAGCTGTTAGAAATAGTGTTTGTTGATATTTGTGACTCTGGTGAAGACCAGATCATATTTCATTGCCTAAGTTTAAACTGAAGTGGGTTTTTTTTCCCCTTTTTTGCTATCATTCTTGGTATCTATACTATACCCCCGTTTTATTTTAAGAAGTGCTCTTCAAAAATCTAGTACGTAACAAAAGCATAATCATAATATTCATGAAGGTAAAACTCAAGGAAAAGGTAAACCATAGTTACACATACTGTACACACCTCCTGGCTGGCTACCGGTGAGGGCTTCTGAAGATTGGAGACAGATTTCTGTAAAGCCAGCGGCGGCTGCAACTCCGGCAGCTGTGGTATTGACGCAACAGAACTACAAATATGAAAGAAAAAAAAAAAGACAATGGATTTATTTTGGGAAATTTTAACGCAGACAAAGGTAGTGAGTAGATACTGACCAACCTATACTGACAGACTGGACCTCTGAGCTGGTGTAAGTGCAACAACTGTCTCTAATCAGAAGCTAACAGCTTTGCAATGACAGTTAACTCCTGCAAAGACTTAGTCATTAGACAAGGGGTTAGCTGGTAGCGCATAAACATTTTGCCTGTTACCTCTTTTGATCGGGTTGTTCCTGCTTGTTCGCCCATCCTGTACCGTCTTTGGGCACAATAATCACGTTGGGATCGTTTCCTTTGTTTTCTGACTTCAAGCTAGGCAGGTGAGCGGGTGGGGGCATGCGCCGGGCTGTGGCCACTTTGCCAAGACTCTGCAAGCCATGTCGCTGAACTACTGTGACAGAAAACAGATAAAGCAAGGGGGCTGAGATGTAAAAAACAGGACCGAAGCAGGGTGACACAAATGTAAGGCAAGTAAATAAGAGGAGAGAAATGAAACAAAATCAACCTTACCTGTGTTTTTCTGAGTTTCTATTGATTTTCCCTTGTACTTGTCAAATAGGCTGAGTGAGGAATACTTGCTTTTCCCATCCTTGGACTTGGTTATTTGCCCCAAACGATCGGACATTGCGATGTAATGTCATCGAGTATGGAAATTTTTCTTTGCGCCTCTTCCCAGTGCCTTCTGATTCTACAAAGAGGAGAAATTTCACTGTAGAAAAAGAAATCTAACCTCACTAGTTGAAGACATTCATATACTACTACCTTGTGAGGGTGGGCATCGTGTAGATCTGTCAACACTGAATTTATTTTAAACTGTCACCCCACACACACACACACACACCCACAACATTTTGTTGCAATCTAGATGTGCTTCGTTTGCATTGTGAGCATCACAGGAGGCCATTTAAAAATAATAATAATCAAGGATAATCACCTTTATTTGGCCAAGTATATTACACACAAGGAATTTCCTTAACGGGACAGACCCAAGGCAGCCATTCCAGATTCGACCTTCCGACCCTCCGGTTAGGAGTCGACTGCTCTACCCATTGAACCACAGTTGCCCCCAATCACATTCATAGTCATGAAGTTATGGTTCGATAGTTTGTTTGCCTTCCCATGATGTTTTTTAATTAGAAGAAACCGACAAGTTTAACTTACTTTTAACTTTAACTTTATTGTCACTGTACCTTGTACAACGAAATTAAAAATGCAATCCTTCGATGTTAAAAAATAATCATAAACAATAAAACCCAACAAATTTACACACTCACATCCATACACATCTGACTATTGCACAGTTCCCGTAAGATCCCCTCAATCATTCAAATTTTAAGGTTTTAGCAGCATTTAAAGCAACAATAGCTCTCGGATAAAAATTGTTTCTTAATCTGTTTGTCCTTGCTATAATTGTTCTGTACCTTCTCCCCGAAGGTAGCAGTTCAAACAGACAGTGTTCAGGGTATGATGGGTCCTGCAGAATGTTTTGTGCTTTTTTCAAGCAACGGGAACTGTACCAAATAACTAAGTTATTTCCTCACACTGGTGCAGAATGCACATGCATGTCAGCAGGCAGATGGATTCTATGTATTCATATACAAATCATAACCAAAAGAATGAACAATGTGAAGTGACACCATTTTTACCATTTCATTAGTACTAGCTTTTCCATACATCAGGGCGCCACAGTGATTCCAAGCCTTTCAATTGTCATTACTCCTTGAGTGGACGTTTCGTATTAAATGAAGAAAAAAAAATTACATTTGTTCAGTTAATATCAGCTGCTAAATCTGAGAACACCTTGATGTCCATCTTGACCTGAGACATGCAAGGGGACGTTCTTTGGGTAGTATTACTGGTATTTTGTACATTACATACCAGCACTGAGTTGCTGTGAGCAGCTGTGATCTAAACCAAGGCTGCTGACATGCCAAAATGTCCACAGGAAAAGTAGGTACGTTTGAGCACTTCACTGTGATAGAGTACCTATTTGGAGCAATTTTCAATAGTCCACAATATGTTCCTGACAGCTTAACTAAAACCAGAAACCAATCAATTTTTTTTATTTTATTTTTCACTGACAGAAAATGGTTCACATTTAAAACTGTTGAAGTGGAGTGTTACTAGAATACAACTTCTCAGCTTTTCAAATATATTTCATCTAAGCTTTGAACACCACAAAATGAAACTATTTTTCCCTTTCTGCTGAGCTACTTTATACAACTGATGTGATGCTACTAAGACTGGCTTTGAATTGTAGCACAAATGTTTTAACAAGAACCATGTCCTCAAAACACCAAATTAAGCTTATATAAGCTATGTGCTAGTTCACATCTGACAAAATCCTCAAGTTACATATTTGAAAAACAGAAATTGTTAGCTTTCACACTTCTAATTACCAAACAGGGAAATGCAAATGTACGCCCAGCGAAACAGCAATGCACAGCCAACACTTAAAACATCTAACAATACAACCTTCAGAAATACACACAAGACAGACAGACAACCAAAAATATGCAATTCACTGATGTTTACCAACTGTACCCTTATTCAAAGTTGCACAAATCTCATATTTTTTGGCAAGAATATTTCAAATTAATGTAAACGCGTATGCCACAATAATCAGTGATGGCAGAACACATGAGCTAGGCCCTAACAGTCCACAGCTGATGTTTCGAGTATTTGATATACACAAAGATACACAAATACATATTGTAGTTTTGAGTACAATACCAGATCATCTATAACGTTATCGTAGGCCGCTCGGTTAAAACTCTGCATAAACGTTTCACCATAAAAAAAACATTACGTCGATCAGTGTCAATTTAGTTATACATTAAAAACGGATCATGCAATTTCCCCCCTACTTTAATATCAGAAAAATCCTAGTTTCTATCAGGCCAACCAAATTTCAGATTTTGTTATATGGAAGCTAGTGCCAGGATCGCTAATGTTAATTCTTGACTATTTGCATTTTAAACGTTATTTCAATGAGACAACAAAAAGCAAATAACACAAGTGCTAAAACGAATATAACGATACTGCTTTATCTTCCGACTGCAGGATAACGTTTGACATCTCGGGCGTTAGTTGCTTATATCACACTGAAAGCTATCTTAATGCTAATTCCAGCACAGGAAAACTGACACCAGTCAATTTGTTGCAGAAAAACAACAACGTATTTCAGGTAATAGCTGAGATAAAGAAACAGTGCGACCTTGGTAAATTTTGCAGACTACAAACGACGGTTACCTAACATTATCTTAAACTGTGGCTTAACAGATATGTCAAGTAGTACCCTTGGTGCAGCTGCTGCTATGCTAGCTGGCGGCTAAAGAAAAATAGCTATGTAAACATCAAGTATTAGCTACCAAGGTCCTGGTAGAAATGGGTTATTTTATATTATAGTCACTAAACCTTAGACCGTCAGAGACTGTAGGCACAGGTAAACCATTGCTCTTGTCTATTAAATATACCATGAATAAATAACAAAACTGCCAAATGCTCTAAGTTAGCATCAGCTAGCTTCGACAGCTGCAGCTGGTTCGAAAACTAGCGAAACGGCAATAGCGTTAAACTTCCAGGCAAGTGTTCCGAAACAACCCTGGCAGGCCGGGGGGTTTCGGTGCATTTAAATGTGATTAAAACTTAATTTGATTTCAAAGACAATTTTGTGTAAAATCTCCGCAAAACACTCAACCCATGTTAACATTCTCCACCGCTATTGGCTTTCAGAACGGCCGGACGACAGCGATGGGAATGTAGGACAAGGCGATTAAAAATGGCTGCTGCCCAGAACAAAGCAACAATAAAACTGGGCAGCGGAGCAGACAAGCTAAAGCAAAGCTTTGACGCAGTCATCTGCATCCATAACTCACCGATTCAACGACTTATGGTATGTTCTGATCAGTGACAGTGTTATAGTTCCACAAAATGTTGTGTGTTGAAAGGATGGATGGCGATTGTAAAGCCCGATCTCCGTAGGTTTAACCGATGAGCAGTAATATTGCTGGGGTCCTACCCGGCCTGAGAATGAACAGGGGAGTCAGCTGTAGGCTGGATCGGCTCGGCTCAGTGCGTCATACGTCACCAAAAGACGTACGCGCCGCTACTGGTTCATTATCCCGTTAATTTTCCATCCACATTTGTGTCTTTTATGTATATAAACGTAAAAAATGTATAAATCTCATTGCAGGAAAACTCTAAAATACACCCTGATATCACAAAAATATTTGCATTTATTTAAAAAGACAATGCCATTAAAATAAAAAATAAAAAAACAGTAATGAGGTAGACTACAACAAGAGATAATTTGTCTATTGCATGTTTATGCTTAATAAAAAATATAACCTTTCATGTTTAGTCTCTTTATTTTTTTTAGCATTTTAATTTAGAAATAGTTTCACTGTTTAGATTTGTGCTGTTTTAGTCATCTGTAAAATACTTTACCTTTATCTAACTTCTATCCTAAATTACATGGGCCTATTAAAAATATGTCTTTTATTCAGTTGACATATTTTCAAAGTTCTGTGACACCAGTGTTGAGAATACTCATAGAAAATTAAGCAGTGAATGTAATGTAATTGTAATTAAGCAGAAATGTATTTGAAATGACACAAAACCTAACAGTACCTTTTTAAAATCCTATTTCTGCAGGTAAACTATTGCCACATAATGATCCGCTTTCAGTAGCTTTACCTGTGCTTATGTTCATATCAGACAAATAGGCTCTGGAGTAACTGAAGTGTGTTCAAGTAGATTTCTCTAGAGGGAGCCCTTGTCTTACCTTCCCCACCCACTCGTTTCAGGCCCCACACATCTCCGCTGTTTATCACCAGCTACTGGATGTTTTTTAAACACTGTCAAGAATTTCGGTGTTGCTCTTGAAAATAGTATATTTACTCTTTTTAATATTTTTGGTTTCTTGTTTTAATTTTTCTCTTCTCTCCTTATTCTCTTTAGCATCAAATACTTTAAAGTTGGACTAGAAAAAAAGATCAAGATAATCAGTGTATGTAAATGTAATGTTTTGTGAAATTACTGACTGTGATCTTATACTGTAAGATATATATTTCTAGTTTGCCACTCAAAACAAAGTCAAGTCGATTTCATTGCCAAAGCCAATTTTGAATTATGACAAAATGCTTTTATTAGTCTTTAGATGTAGATGAAAAAAATGCAGATTTCATGGACACTCACCAGAGTTTGAGATGTTTGTCATTATAACATGCAGAGAGCTACACACCTGCAGCACATACAGAGGTCAGCAGCATCTGGAAAGTTGTGTTGTCTAATGTTACCTCTGTCTATTTTATTAGAGCATGACACAAACAGAGCATAAAGACACAACAGTAGGAAGTGTGGTGTCTGTTGAGTCAGTGCATTTGGACCCCATACAAACAGGCTTGCAAGCACTATCAGCACTTACTCACAGTGATATTTTGGTTACGTGCTTTGCAGGGTTATAGAGGCCTTGATTTTGGTGCAAAATCAAACAAACCTGGATCTTCTAACAAGCTGTAATTTGGTATTGTTGCTCATGTTTTGTGAGGAAGAAAAGCACTCAAAGTGAAGCATGCTGTACTGTTATTTCACCCTGAGAAACTGTCAAAAAAAGACTCCATATATACCACAATGTTAAGTTAGGCTACTGCAATAACTGCTACTATCACTTTTTGCACATCTCCCTCTAAATCTGTGTGTGCACACATATAGATGTTGCATTCATGTGGAAACTTTGCCCTGATGGTGGCCTATTAAGGACATGTCCTAGTTCACACATGACCAGGTAACACATACTGTAAAAACATGACTGCTGAAACGTTAGTGAACTGTTTCCAACTGATACTCTCTGCCAAAATGTAGTTTCAATGAACTTTTGAACTGTTTCAGAGCACACACCAATGCACTGCTGTTACTTCCTGTCAAATTTTGTGTGATAAGATTAGTGTGACAGGAAAGCACTGTCAAATGCTGTGTAACACACATATTTGACAATTTGTCATAAATTATGTTTCACCACTACATGAATGTTTGCTTTCTGGGTCATATCTTAGTACCAAACAACTTGGTGTAAAATCATATTCATGCAGTTAATCAACAACCATAAGACAAAGGCTGAAACATACAGTATGTGAATAACAAACCACCGAGGCTTTTATGTCAAGTAAACTCCAACATTGCACACTGCAAGAGAGAACTTTTGTAGCAACGCAGCTGCGCTGGAACTGCCAAAATGTAGGTAGTCAATGCTCAAATTTTTCTTAGATTGATCTTAGTACAAAATGCTGCTCCACGTGAAAGTATAGCCTTACTGTTCGATGAGTAAGAATGTATTTATATCATTTAATTTAAACTTGGAGCAAGTGAATATTCAAAATGGTACCTAGAAAAAGGTAGAGAAAGGAAAGTTAAATGCCATGTGGATACTAGTTCCAGCCTTTAAAGTCCCATAAGAGAGCACGTTTACCACTGACTGGAGGAGAATAATGACCATGTCTGAGGTTTCAGCACTTTATTATTCTTCTGCTGACCAAGCTGTGCACCACGTGATGCCTTACAGTCCATATGATGTTTGATGCAATCAAAACAGTTTGCAATGCTTCCTTGTGGAGTCAGTCAATTCATAAACATGATTTATCATCACAAGCATCATGGCAGCTTGCATAAAGATTCATTTAAATTTCAGTTTAAAGTATTTGTAAAGGCTTGTGGTGTAAAGAGAGCATGGTCACGGTTAAAGAACAAATGCATTTCATTGCCAGTCCACCTGATTTTTTCACTAAGCTGGAAAAACAAAGTAAAACATGACACAAAACAAATGAAACTAATGTACTCAAAATACATTATACACCAAACTTAGTTAAAAAAATCATTTCATTCAAAAATAAATAAAAAGCATTCAGAAAAAAGGTAGAATTTCTTGAAAACTTATATTTTGCTTTGTATGCTGACACTCCCCCACGCACAAACACACACTTTACATGCCTTAGTTGTTTAGTGGAGCATAGAAAGGGTATGGCTGACAAACCTCAAATATCTGTTAGGCCAATGTGCAGCAGCCTCTAATGAAAGAGGCTGAGAGAAATATCTGGTATGATAAGAATTTAAACTCAATTAAAGGCATGTTGAAGGAAATTATATTTGACCATACTGTATGTATATGAAAGATATTGGGCAGCACAGTGGTGCAGTGGTTAGCGATGTTGCCTCACAGCAAGAATGTTCCGGGTCCGAGCCCAGGTCTGTCTGTGGGGAGTCTGCATGTTCCCCCTGTGCCTGCGTGGGTTCTCTCCGGGTACTCCAACTTCCTCCTGCAGTCTAAAGACATGCAGCTTAGGTTGACTCTAAATTGCCACTAGGAGGGAGTGTGAGTGTCTGTGGTTGTTTGTCTACATGTCAGCCTCCCCAAGTGTGACATTTGTTTTACAAAAATAAGTTCATTATGTGGTTAATATACAGCAAAAAAAAAAAGAAAGAAAAATCACATCATAAATATACAAACATAATAGTCCTGCCAGTTAGGAACAACGTGGAATACCCAAACAACGATCATGAGTGCTACATACTATATTACAACCTTATACCAAACTGTATTTAGTGTTCAACATGGGTTAAGTATTTCACTATTGCAAAACGCAGTTAAGAGGGAAGTGGAAGTAAAAGGAAGTAAGATGGTAAGGGAAGTGGAAGTAAAAGGAAGTAAGATGGTAAGAAAGAAGAGCCACACAGACTCAAGAGATTATGCACTAAATAGAAAGGAGGTGCAGTTACAGATTAATGTTACCCGAATTCATAATGTATTCAGTTTACAGTTGTTTTATTTTTCCCTTTTCTATCAGTTCTTGATTGAAAAGGAGGAGCAGTAGAGGTGTGTGAGAATAAATCTGACTTATGATTATAAGATCTGCATTATAAAGGTTTTGTAAGGTCATGTGACCTGTCCTTGGTGTTACATGCAAGCCGGCATCTGCATCTCTCTTCACAGTCTGCAGTAAGAACTGGACAAAACCTACCTAGGTTCTTCACATTGTACGATGAGTGTATCAAGTAAGCCTTGTGTACTAGCATAGCCTTATAGCAAAAGTTCAGACAAAGGGGCTCCAGCTGAGCGTTCCTATAGAAATAAGAGTCTGGCAGGTGTTTGATGAGAGCCACACAGTCTCCATCAAACTAAAGTGGAGCATACCCAGTGCAAAGCCACACACCATATCAGTTAGATGGTGTTTCCCCAGCAGCACCCGGGACATGCCCACAAGGAAGGCCCACAGCACCAACAGGATACGAAGTGGCACAGCCAGGACCAGGTGAGATAGCAGGAACTTGGAGACCATGGCAGCCCGGCTGGCATGAGCGGCAGGGAAGGAGTATACGTCCATGGCAACCCAGTCCAGGAAGCCTGGCATCATCTCCCAGGGTCCTCTGCGCTTCACTAGTCTCTGGACTCCAGCCACAGTCATGACATCAAGGATGAGAGCTGTCACAAAGAAAAAAAAAGGCTTTTGAAGGAAACAATGCATGTTGACATAGTGTCACCTAGACAATAATGGTGGTGGTGAACTTATAAAAATCCTCTGCTTAAGTTAAAACTACTGATACAATATGAAAACTCTATTACAAGTAAATGTGCTACATTCAAAATCCTATGTACAGAAGTATTATTAGTAAAATTTTCTTAAAGTACAAAACAAAAGTACACATGCAGATGAATGGTCCCTGTCTATTATATATCACATTATTAAAATGAAGCAATGTCTATATGTCACCCCTCATTGTAGATACTAGTTGATGTTTAAAACATTAGTTGTAGAACGTTCAAGTAAAACATGATTTTTCCTCCTCAGATAGATTAGTAGTGTAAAAGAGGTAAATATATCATGCTAAATGGGGCGTTCAAACTTTAATAGCTTCATATTATGCCCAGAAATACCCCTGCCATCACCATCTTTAGCTTCTGTTTGCCATCATTACACAAACTTGTCTAAATAACTGTCAGTTGTCTGACATATTGGTTATGCTGCCCTATACTTCTCATGCCACTTGTCTATTCACTAACCTAACGGGGCCATTTTTAAAAACTTCCATTAAAGTGAGGCGCTGTCATTTTCATGCTCACTGGAAAAATGGAGAAGTGGGCAGGCCTGTAAACAATAAGGACCTATAGACAATAAAAGTGGTGCAGCCCCATGGCGCCCTGCAGTCCACATCTCATAAGTACTGAGTGGAGGCAGAAAGTGAGCCAAGCAATGACACATCATATTATCTGCTATAAGCACAAGCTGGCTAAGGCAACAATTCAGTTTGCCTTAGAAGATATACCAGGCATCATCAACACATTAAATAACCTTTTCTCAGAAATGTGGAGATGACTGCACAAAATTATGGCTTTATTTTTTGTGGTAGCTTTTCAAACAAATTTCATCATAACCTGTGCTGGCAGACTGTTAGTTCCCTTTCTCAGTCAGTACTTCTCTTTTGCAGTTGGTGCTGTCAGTGTAGACTCACTGAAGAGTTTTCTGTGTTCCTATATTGTCAGGACTGAGAGCACGACCGCAGTCAGCACAGTGTACACTAATAACACATCTGAAGTCAGCCTGCAGTCAGTCAGCACACGGTTATTGATCATACAAAAATGATTTGAGCGGCTAAACGCTCTCCATCAGTTAGTCAGATCATGGGTGCTGAACTCAGATTTACTGTTGGAGAGGAACCTGTTAATGGAAACTTCAACACCAAGAAATACCACAGGTGACCTTGTATTATGAGGAAATCTCACAGTGCCCTTCTTTCTTGCAGTACCAAGCTAAGATGAAAGAGTGCTGGCACAATGCTTTTTTCCCACTGCAGCAAGAGTGCGAGAGCTTAGTCTGTTACTGAATCTGACTGAGTCAAATGTAGACCACATATGACTTTCAAAATATGCTGGACAACGCTGAACTTGTGTAACATTTGTGCTGATGTCCTGTCTTCTATACAGTAAAATGATGCAGATGTGCTACTGCCATTTGCTGCTGGGCCGGTAGCAAACAGCTGGTCAAAGATGCTGATTAGAATGTACCAGATGCCCAAAACAAGTAAAAAGCTGCTCTGTAGCTCTGAGTGGTACTGCAGAGCCGGGTTCCTTTCATATCAGTGCAAACATGACCTGGTGATGTATCTTTGTTAGTCACCATCCATCCAGGCCTCAACTGCATTGTCCTTAAAAATGCATAAATGAAAAAATAAATAACATCAACAATTTTTGTACTATTTTATATGAAGAGGTCAGCTGAAGTTTCCAGGACTACAGATCTGATGTGACATGGGTTAAAAGCATGTGTAAAATAGCAGCTCACTGAACCATGTTTTAATGCTCGAAACAGCTGTATTTCACTCCAAGACTAAAATATATTAAAACTGAATATACATCACAGAATCTTGTACTGTATGTAAACTGGTCTGCAATCTGTTGATATGTGTGATGCTACCTCTTCTTCTTCATGCAAAAGTTGACTAATAAGTGCAAACATGATCTTATCATTTTAGCACAATGTTGATCTCTGTTGAGCAGTTGTATATGTCTCTCCTACTCTTTGAACGGAGTTTAACTCCATTATTTTAGGTATGGAAATTGAACAGATAGGCCAGTGGAAGAACAAAATCACACACATGAAGAAACCCGAAAACACCAAAGCCAAGCTACACTGCCGGTGATAACGATGGGAACATCCTCTGCACAGTCAAGGTCTGCTTCTGGAGTGTCCAACATGCTTAGTAATGACAGATCCAGTCATTACGTGACTGGACTGTTTTCTAAACACTATATGGGAAATACTCCTTCACAGCAGAGTTCATATGGTCATAGGAGTGAAGTGAATTAAACCAATCCTGTGCGACCAAACCTGATTGATTACATAAAAAAATTTCAGTCAGCGATGAATATTAATTCCCCACCCACTATTAAGTATGTTCACCTGACAGACCTCAGTAGAATGGCAATCACCCTGGACTAACAAATAATAATAAGCATTTGGGGCTGAACAGTATCCCAAACACAACACAGCAGTGTCCCAGATCCAGAGATTTGCTGGCTTTCGAGCTCAGTGCAGCTACAGCCAGGAGATTTGTACTGCTTTTGGTCAATAATCTGTGCCTGGGTTGAGACTCTGCATGCACGTGAACATGTACACTTGCCTTCACTACACACACAAACCCACACTGGTCTCTCAGTCATTCTGAAAATGTCCAGCTCATGTAGTCTTTGCTGCAGAAAGATGTACTGCTGCTATTGCCATTAACAGCAACAAAGACATTTTTCTGTATAGCCCCACTGGACAAAACTCTTAATTTCTGAATATATATGAGGGATTTTGCACTGTTTACCAAACCATTAGCTTCTGAATAAACCAAATACAAAAGTCAAGTGTACTTTTTTGTGCATCAAGAAAAAAAAGTACAAACGACACAAAGGAAAACGACTCTGTACAACAGACCAGCAATACATCCTGTCCTATACACACCAGAGGTCAGTTAGTCCAAAAAGGTTGTTGGGAGATACAATATATTTTGTCACAACTTTCATTAATGAACTTACAACCAAGCTTCATGAGAAGGTAACAGTAAATAAGATTTATATCATTTATTAAGGACTCATCCATAAGAACACTTTTCATGTTGTCAGGTAAAGAACTACTTCTCATTCCTTGATTTATTAAACCATAAAAAAGATGTACTGTAAGTTATAACTTGTAAAATATGCCTTGCCAAAAAGTGCTACCCACACTTTTGCAATTTACAAAGCACATTTAGAAATTAGCCATGGCGTTTAAAACTATGTTCTTCAGCCTATGGAATTTTAGACAAAAAAGTATGTAAATGTGCATCAGTTTCATCCAGAAAAGCCAAAAGATTGTGAGTGCAGATCATTCTAGCTGAAGAAATCACATAGTGCATGTGGTGCGCTTTAGGGATGAACTGCATGTTGTGACATTTACCAAGCAGAAGGTTGACCAGGACCTCTTGTCCAGCCAGAGTGTTACTCCTTGTGAGACAGACGATAGTGCCAATGATCCACGTGATGCCATGCCCTGTGAGCGCTAACAAGGCGACCATGGAGCGGCAGCCTCCCCAGGAGGACGACGTGTAGGCGCACACTCCCATGCGCTTGGACAGACAGATGTCAATGGCGAGTAGGGAATTCATCGCTATTCCCTTGAATGAAGGGTTCAGCTGCATGCAGTCTTCTTCTGGCATTCTGTTGGTCTCTCTCTTGTCCTTGCCGCCACTGTCGGTAGGTTCTTCACTCTGCTGGCTTGTTTGGTGCTTGATTGGACCCAGTCGCCTTGCGCTGCCTCGGCTCTTAGAGGGGCCAGCTCCGCAGAGGGGCTGATGGTTCAGGGACATAAACTCAGGTCGGCTCAGGACGCTGTTTCTCTCCCGCGCCCTGGCTCTCACGTTGTAACTTGAAGGCATGTTTGGACAGGGCCAAGTCCCCCTCTGTGGGTGTAATAGCTGATTGTTATTCTCCGAAAGATAATTCAAATGGAACAAGTTAACCACGACAGTGAGATGTCCCAGGATAGACCCCTTGCGCACAGTGCTTCCCCTCCTGTGGCCTTAATAGATATATTTAGTCTCAGTGGAATGTGTGATGGCCATGCTGTTTATATCATGCGAGCAGGGAGAGTGTATTGAATGTCATTTGCCTCGGCGAATCCACTGAAACCTGAGCAGTGCTGGAGATAAAATACAACACGAGCTCTTGTTACGCCACTGCGCAACTATAGAGCTAACAGGTGCTTAACTGCGTGTGCTACCTTGAAAAACAAGCTCAGTGTACAAAACGTAAAAGAAATGGGCGACGCAAGACTCGGTGTTGGCATCTTACCAGGCGAAGCGTTAACAGCTAAGAACCGCACAGCATCACTCTAAATCCCTCTCTGGTAACACCTCAGATGTCCTGGCAGCGATGAAGGGGGATTCTACTATCACGCTGTGGGGGCAAAACCTAAAGAAAAGTTAACAGCCAACCAAAATCAGCAACAAAGGTTGAAGACGCGACAGCTCAGCAAGCGCAGCATTTGGTTCTTCCGTGCAGATTTGACGTAGTTTACGCACAATCCCGATTCAACGTCTGCGGTGCGCTCTGCTGTGGCGCGGAGTTCTCCAAGGTGCTTAAACATAGAGCGACAAGACTGGGGAGCATCTCTTCATGCTGTCATCTTTGTGGAAAATGGGGAAGGATTTTCAAATACTAACTAAGTAACTAAATCAAATAAATAAGAGAGTAGGTAAAGTACCTTGTTAGTTAACAAATGACAGCCTACAACAAATTCACAAAGAGCTGACAAGACTTGACAGCTATAACACTGCAGAACAAACTGTTAGACCACATTGATTATTGATTACTACTTATAATCACTGATCACGTTAATTTGGCCCACCCCTAGGGCTCTTGGCACAACGAAATGAAATCCAATAAACTATATTGTTGTATAATGTTGATGTGAAGAAGAGATTCTTATGCCTACATTTCCCAGCAGGCTTGCGGCGCGGGGCGGAAGTGTCGTCTCTAAGATACTAGGGCTATAAAGCTCCTTTCCAAGCAGCTGAAATAGACCAGTGCGTAACGGGGTGAACCTGCTGGTAGCGATGGGACGACGAGTGACAGTTTGTGCAGGAATTCAGGCTGAACGGCATCCCATCACTGACAGGACTGCAACTATCGACTCCATCTAACTATGTGACAGCTGGCATCTCACCTTTCACTGGCGTTATAAGATGTTTTATTGATTTATCTTTAAATTAAGAATGGATCCGAGGAAATGGGTACTAAAGTTGACCCGACGGTGTCCTTTGGATATTGCAGTGCTCCGTCTCAACCTCGACTAGATTTAAATGCCTGTGGACATGCTACCGTCCTCTCTCTGCGGGACAGTGAAATAATTTGCAGCAATTGACGGGAGATGCAGGTGTGAAGAAGATAACGGAATTACCTCTCTGACCTAAGGACTGTGCCAGCCACACTTTCCAGTGAACAGTTTTATAGGTAGACTTCTTTTTGCATGTTGTTTTTGCAGGCTAAAAATAGATCACAATTTCTGCAATTGCAATGCACGAACCCTTGATCCGCAAATGTTGGATTGGCGCAAAAACGTTCAGTAACGCTCTTAATTCTTTTACGTACAGCACACTTTTTTGTTATGATGAACTAAAGCCTTTGCGAATTAAATTCACAGTAGGCAGCTCTACTTAGTGTCTGAGCTGCCATTTGTCATTTCTTACTGTCCGGCTTAACACTTTTGAAATAGCCTCTGTCACCAGCTTGGCATAACGATTTAACTACTGGGTTTAGATGATAGCCCGTGAATTATAATAATGTAATAAAGAATCACACAAAAGAGAATTTGACGCCGATATGTAACATCAGTAGTTTGTTAATTATTTAGCTGATCATTAACCTCAACCTTCTATGCACACCTTTCCAATGGATGCATGTTGCCAAAAGGTCAAGTCTTTTTACACTTGACAACAGCACATTCAGGAAGCTGTAACTTGTATCTTGACAGCATGAAAACATCAATGCACGGATAAGGAGGGTGTACCCGCGCTTGTGTGTGCAGTTGCTTTTACGCACCGGAAAGCATGTGCTCTACAAATACGAAGAATGTTTAGGCCTCCCTTCTTCTTTTCTGAAAGTAGTTTTGGATAAGTATGCATGGCCTTTTAAATGAAACATTCAGCTATAAACACTTTTTATTTTGCTAAGCATGTTTGGAAGAAAACATGTTGCGGATCCATCTTTGGTGACTTTCTTGCTGTTTCCATGCGTCTTTCTTCTCCCCCAGACATCTGGACGTTGTTAGGGATTGTGTTGCTATTTAATGCAATGGGCTGTATCCAGAGTATCAGGTGTAAGCCCAAGAGTTTCCGAGACAGTGTCGTCGTCCAGGAGGTGAAAACCTGCATCGATTCCAACCTCACCAGCATCGACGAGTCATCCAGCGTGGTCCTGCGATACCGGACACCACACTTCCGAGCTCATGCCCGTGTCCTGGTGCCGCCAGTAGCCGGCCACGAGACGTGGACCATCGGCTGGATTCAAGCATGTAATCATATGGAGTTCTACAATACTTACGGAAACAAAGGGATGTGAGTAACTGAGTTCTTCTTACTGTGTTCAGACTTTGACGCGCGCCATTGTTGGGCGATGCGTGTGTTGAGCAGAGACAGGTGGAGACCCATTATGGATTAATGGGAAATATTTTGAAATGAATAGAGACTGAAATGCTGAAGTCTTTAAAAATTTATGCTGCAACTGACAGTTCTGCCACAATCAGATTATATAATCTTTGTTACTTTGAAAATATATTTTGTTACATTAAATGTCATTGTTTCCTTCCGGGTTTCATACTGGGATCACTGAAGTGATATTCTTTATGACAAGAAACTAAATGAAAAGTTATTAGAGCTGCAACTAACTTAATAACACTAGCTACTAATCTGCCAATAACCTTTTCCACTGAACAATAATTTTGGTGCATAAAATCTGGAAAAACCTTTGAATCCCCAAATCCAAATGTATGCAGTTTAATCTAAGATAAAGAGGAGCAGCAAATCCAGCTGTTTGAGAACCTGAAAACTCTGAATGTATTTCACTATTTTTGTTTGAAAAATAAACAAAACAATTCACTAGTGATCAAAATAATTGATTTATTTTCTGTTGATTGGCTAATCAATTAACCATTTAAACTACATGTAGAATTTAAAGTTTGAAATTTCAAGGGAAATAAATTCTAGAGTAAACAATTCAAGAAGAAACTTTTTGGATTTCAGGAAAAGAGTCCCCCCTCAGCACGTTATTCACTTACTGCCAAACTCTAAAAACGAACACAGGAGGGTAACAGAAAGAGTCAGTGCCAGAAGAACACCAGCATCAGTCTTTGTTGTCCAATCAAAATATTACATATAAACACCTGCTTTTAGGATGATGAGTAAAGAATATTTAGAAAAGTAAGATAAATGTGCTCGTCCATAAGTGCACTTACCACCCACTGTTCCACTGGTGCTACACTATAGTACTATGGAGAACTATAACAGACTGCTACTTTGGTGAAAAGTTCCAAAAATACAGGGAGCTTGCATGATTAGAGTGTTTTTATTATTTTCAAAACAAATTCTCTGTCATAAAAACAACCCAGGTACAATGTTCAACTCTGCAAAAACCTTTATCGATGCCTTTAAAACAGTCTGGCTGCCCAACAATGTAAAACAAAACAAACAAAAACAAAAATATGTCCACATTTATTACTAGGTTCTACAGATAACGTCTTTCTGTTTCTTATTTCTTAGTGTGTGTGATAGTGCTACAAATATCCTTACATCCTGTACTGGGTAACCACAAGCTGAAATACACCCAGAATATGCTTTATCTGTAGACATTGCAGCAGAGGATGTCTGCGTGCTGCATGGCTAAGATTAGAGACTCAGTCTCCTCCCCAGCACAGCCCTGTGTGTTTTCTGGGTAACAGAGAAAGAGAAATGGTGAGAATGTGATAGAACCCTCAATTACACTCACAAACTCCAGCGTGATCACTGCCTTTTGTCAGCTGTATTTGTGTTTACAGTAATTATGTCTTGTACTGTGAACATTTTATCTTGGTGAAGTTTAACTGTGACAATCTTTTGTCAAAGTTAGTTAT